TAAATAATAATAATAAATAAAATAATATATTTCTTTTGTTTTACTTTGCAATATTCTTATTTTTTCTTTCTTTTCTATTTTTCTTTTTTTTTCTGCACTTTCTATTTTTTTTCTTTTTTTAGTTTGTATTAGTTTGTATTGTTTTAATTGTAATGTTTAATAAAATTAATATTTTAAAAAAAAATAATGCTAGTGCTAAACAGTAACCCAACAATAATTCATTTTTAGAATACTTTTTTTAAGCATGAACATCTTTATACTCACTTTTGTCTACTATGTAGATTTTCTTTTCTCATATCATTCAGTTGTCTTTCAGCTGCCCGGGCTGTTAACTTTAAATATATACCACATATTAGAATTTTGTCAAAATAAATATGTGCTATAATTTTTGAAAGTTCAACAAATATTTCAAAAATCAAGCGTATAACCATTTTATTAAAATTTAGAACCATTACCTTTAAGGCCCATACATTATTTTAAATGACATTACAGATAAAGCAGGCAAATCCAGTTTGTCTAAGTAACTAGCCTATGAGTAAAGTCCACATTCCAAAGCTTTGCAGATATCAGTGCATTCTAAATGCCTGAACCACTGTGAATACTTTTTTGGTGTGAGTCAAATAGCCTGTTGCTTCTTCACTGTTAATTATTAATATTCTGATCTAGTGTTTAATACCTAAGAAAGCCATGAAAACTGTAAGAGTTTCTCCACTCATCTTGATGGAACCCCTGCACTAAAGTAAGTAAGGCAGCTTGTATACACAGAGATTATCATGGGCATTATGTACACAAAGATCTCTGGATCAGGGAAGCAATCTTCACATCATTGTACTAATTCTGTCCTGGGCACTTTAACTTAAACTACTAAGTAAAATAACAGTTTAGCACCTACATGTGAATTTAGTTCCAGGAAGAATTGCCATTTTAGCAAATCTTTACTCTCTTACAATAGTAGAATGAGATGGATTTTAAAAAAAAGTAAGTAAAAGACTGCGGTAAGTGGAACAAAATATTATTGCAAAACTAATGTTACCATAAGACAGAAAGTCTTATAGTTACATAAAAGCATCAGAGAATAGCTGACCCTTATTAAAATAGCACAGAAACAAGAATAAACCCGAAGTGGTTTATAACAGAAAACATTAATGAGGACATTTCACTTAAGGAACTTTTTTTAACTTAAAGAAAATGAATTCTGAAAGTCATAATTCAGAAAAAAAAGCATATAGCATTCACAGACAGAAAATGATTTTAAAATTGGCACTTCTGATTTATCTTTAAAAAAAAAATCTGGGAAGATATGCATTGCCACTATTCAACTGCCTAGGCTACAGTTCTGTACAGAGAATTTCTGAAAGCTTTAGTGTCTATTTTTGCTCTACCTTTAGAGCTTTCCTTCTGACGTTCTGTTGGAACTATGGCTAAGTCTTTTTGCAGAAGTACAGCCAAGCATTAAAAAAAAATAGGAAAGACTTTAGGATTTTATATATATTGAAAAGCATCAAGTTAAAAAGAGTTTTATAAATAGATTTCTTATTGATCTAAGCAATTGTGGATGAGTGCAATCTACAGAGGCACATCTGGATTTCTCAGCTTCCAGTGAACCTTCAATACTGCATCTCAGATCACCTGACATACAATCCTAAGAAACAGGGTCATTCTGGAGCATCTGCAGTCCAAAAGAGCAATCATATGTCTTGAGAAAAAAATCTAACAGCTGACCATGTTTGTAACCTTTCTTACTGATAACACTCTACAACAATAAATAACATGTTTTTTCAGATGGACAGAAAAGTAGTGTTAACTTACCCAATTATCATGAGCTTTTTTCTCATGTGACATAATCTATTAAACAAAACTACACATTAATTCAGAAGCAAAATCAAACTGACATTTTTACATGTTCTTTTTAACAGAAAGCAAATATAGGTAAAATAATAATAATCTTACTTAAGAGTATTACTTTATACTATAGAATATAAGCCATTGAAGTTACAAGAGAGATGTTGCTTAAACAAAGCTCTGCCATTAAACCAAAAATAACTAAAATCACATGTATATTTACCAGGCAACAAATTTTACTGAAAGGATTCAATAAAAGTCATATCAATTTGCTTCCATGTAGATGTTCAGACTCAACTTTAGTTACTCTGTTCTATTTACATAATAACTTTAATTAAACAAAAAATTAAGTTGTGAAGTTTTAAATAAGGCTAAATGAGCTCCTGAATGAAAGGCAGGATATAAATCAAATAAAATTCCAATTGAAATAATTTAGAATACATCTAGCATTGAAAAGTAATTTCAAACTACTTTTTTCTCCAAAGAGGCCAATGAACTGAAGCCACGTTACACAAGGTGCCAATTAACAAAAGACATACCTGATTCTCATAAGAGCGAACAGTTCTTTCTAGTTCTTCTTCAAGATCTTTTGCCCGTTGTCTATAAAGTTATTACAAGGAGAAATTTTGTCCAACTGATATTATCATTACAAAACTTTATTAAATAACTTAGGAGTAGGTAAATTGATTTATTTTTTAAAAAATCGGATCAAGTTGGCAAGACTATTGAAAAAGGAGATCAATCAGGTATATTTATCCACCAAAATGTATCAGAATCTGCCTGCTGCAATCTCTTTGCTTGCAAAACTCAGTTGTTCCTAAAAGAGACAGGATTCGATGTGAATGGAATTCTTCTTAACTGAAGTTGGTTTGAATGACACAGTCCTATTTATGGATCTAGTGGAAAGACTGAACTTTAGCAGAATTATCTCTTCTATTGAAAAGTAAGCACTCTAATACTTGTGATTTAAAAAAAGGAATAATATATAATTTATCTAACTGATTCTTAGGAATCATGAGCTATCTAAAACTCTCTCCTCTTCTGGAGAGGTTCTGAACTAAATCCAAAGAAGTATGAATGGAACTCCTATTATCCAACAGGGCTTTTCTGGGTCCTCTTCTAATTGCAGTCCTTTGCATCTTTCCCAGCTGTACCTTAGGATTTCATGGCCCTCCAGACTACTGAGGAATGTGGCATAAATGACTACAACATACACAATATGCAGATAGGAAAACTGGAGGAAGGAGTTCCTGCACGAGCAGACTGCCTTTCCATTTGCAAGGACACCTTTGAAAGCAAACATTTATGTTTAATGTTGCTTCATAGATTTGTGGGACAGTGCTTCTTCCCTCTGACACACTACTAGAAATATCTCAAGTACAATGCTAGACTGGTACTCCTGCAGTTATTCTCTATCCCCTCTTCAAAAATTTGGAATTGTTTAATATAATTCTCAGTGAAATTACCGATAGGCATTCAGTTCTTCAGCAGCATGATTAATTTTCTCATCAACTTTGGAAAGTTTTTCTTCTTTCTGCAAACGTTCTTTTTCTTCTACAGTTAATTTCCTTTTAAAAAGTAAATATGCTTATCATTAGTCATAACTCTACTGCTTTTTTACTTTTCTTATGAAATCCACTTTCACAAAAATTATTTAAACCCCCCGCTGCAATGTAACCCTGTTGTGTTTTGTAGTTCTAGTAACAGAGGACAACTACAAAAACGGTGTTGAACTGTACTACATGCAAATCACTATGCACTTACTACAGAACATACTCTACTGAAACGTGGAGTTTCCAAATAAAAATGCATAGGATCAGGCAGTAAAAGAACTTGAATAGAGCCTCTGAATGATGCATGATTGTAGGTGTTACTCTGAAAAATAAATTTTTAATGCAGAACCTTGTTGGGTGCAATGTGTTTATATGTACAGTACACACAAAATGATGATGGGGAGTGAAACTAGAACTTTCACTATTTGGCTTCTCTCAAAGGAGAAGTGGTTGGCACCGAGTCAGACACATGCACATAAAAATTATCCAGTTTTTGGATCTAAGCTCTTTATGTATTCAAGGCTACAGGGTGAAATGACGTTCAGGTAGGACTTTTTAAAGAATTCAAAGGGAAAGTTCAGTTCTTTGTACAGTAGATTAATCACACCTGGTCTCAAAATAAGTATTTTGCATTCTAAAATGTTTTCCAATAAGCCAAACACATAGTAAACAAATATAAAAATACTTCCTTTAAGTTACTCTGTAGGGGTTAGAGTAACTCTAACACTTGTAGAGCTGGATTTAGTAATATCATCCCAATATTGGCACAAATAATTTGGCGAATGTAGGTTACATATTTGTGCTACCAATTGAAAACATTCAATTACAGAGAAATAACATTAATTAATGAATTAATGAGTGACTTATTAAGCAATAAATCCACTGCCACCAATACCTGTGAAGATTCATTTCATTTTCTTGGTATAGTTCTGTCATGACTTTAAGCTTTTGCTGAAGCTTTTGAACTTCACTTTCAAACTCTGTATTCCCCGACTGCAAAATGACATGTTCCCTTTGTAGTCTTTCAGTCCGTTCTGGCAGAAAGAAATAAGTACAAATAAGCAATCTTTTGGAGCCATAAAATTGAATGCTGCAAATTGAAGGTGCTCATAAAGGCACTTTAGTTCAACCAGGAACATTTTATTCCACAGTTTTTACTCTACAATACTGTACATAGCTCTGTATTTTTTTTTAAACCCTTAAATTATATATTAATAACTGAAAAATGACTTGTACCACCATAAAAATGCAAAATATGTTTTACTTCCATATGTATCTGAGGGTCGGGTTTTGCTCTAGGCCTACACAGAGACACACCAGCTTATAACAGGAAACACATCTTCTGCAAGCCAGCATCCCATCCTTGCAACCCCTGGAGAAGACTAGGTTTCCGACGGATTGTGAGAATGGGATGCCAGCTCGCAGAAGGTATGGGACACGTGGCTTGAGGAAAGAATGGGACGACAGCTTTAGGAAAGGAACAAGAGGTACAGCTTGGGGAATGGTGTGAGGCCGCGAAAGGCAGCAGTGTGAGGCCTGAGGCGGCATTTCTCAGTGGCAACAGCAGCACTGGGGCTGAAGTTGAGGCCTTGGGGAGGTGGCAGCTGCCTGAGACTGATGAAGGCTTCAGGCCTTTACTTCAGTTCCAGACCTGGCATTGCCACTGCCAAGTACCACTGTGCAGGGGTGGCCAAAAGAGCATAGATGGGGGGGGGGAGATAGGCAGGTGGGAGGAACTGCAGTGCCCCTGCAGTTCTGCACTACTGAGCCAGGCTGGGGCAGCTGTGGCTTCCAGGGATGGCTATGACTTTGCGCCGCACTGCAGCACCCCCCCAACTCATGCGTGGCCTGCACCTGGCCTCCCAGAGCCTTCCCCACTCCCACGAGGCACCCCTGTGCTCCTTACTTGGGACTCTGTCTGCTTAACAACCTGTGATTCTTGCTTAACGATGGCAGCTGGGAGTGCCGGGATTGCAGTCAATAAGTGAAGCGGTCATGTGGTAATTCACTTAACAACCACATTGCTTAGCAACCTAAATTCCGGTCCCAATTGTGGTCGTTAAGCGAGGACTATGTGTAATATATTTTTTTCTAAAGCATTACTTTCAAAAACCTAATTTAAAAAATAGCATATTCAGCTTACTTTCTTGCTCATCTTAAAATCTATGAAAAAATTTGTGATTACCTGCAAGTTCCTCTTTTGCTTTCTTTTCATCAGTTAACTTTGAATATAATTGATTCCTTTCTGTTTCCAAAGATTTTAGACAAGCGTTTAGCTATACAATGAAGGAAGATAAACTATGTAAGATCATTATTGCAAGGAAGAAGACATTTGCACCTCTAGAACAGATCTCATATTAATTCTAGTTTATTGTCTGTCTGTACAGTAGTTTACAAGTGCAGGGAACATTCTCCAGTGAAATGTGACCACCTTACAGATTTGTTTCTAAAGATACATTAAACACAAAAAAGCAATTGGCATGGATCCAGAGTTCCAGTGAGAAGAATTCCATTCATGCGATGTTCCTGCTGAAGGAGAGTGGAGGGCAATATTGACAATTATAGCTCCTCCCAAAGGATGTTCTTTGAAAAGATGTTCTTAAGAGTTGGGAACTTCCACTACAGCTAGGCAGGGGCACATGGGAAGGAATGGGTGAAATTTACCTCTTAGCTCCTCTCCTAATTGGAGCTCTAACTGGCTATCAGTTCCTTTAGCAAAAAGCTTCTGTAATTCTGGAATCAATCCAGAAAGTTTAAGTGCCTTCTTAAAACTGAAGTTTATTTCACTAACATCCTTCCCTTCAATATATAAAATATTTTCTCACAGTTCAAATACCCCCCCCCTTTTTTTTTTACCAATACTAATCTTTACAGATTTTAAAATAGTTAAAACTTCAGTATTACACACTTACCTTTGCAGCATAAATTAGCTTCTTTACAGTTTCTTTTTCTGGATCATCTGGTTAAAGAAATGAAGATAGAAAACAGTAAAGCTCAGAAAACTAATTTTGGATTTTATAAAAAATAACATTAGCATTAAAAATATTCCTTTTGTCCTCTCCCTTGACATTTTAATATGACTTTAAGTAGGAACAAGGGGATATCAACAATTTATATATTAAGCTCCTGAGAAGCAACAGAATTTTTCAGATGGGTTTGGTATTTTGTTAGTTCGTCCTCAGGATAAAAGTAACTGAC